TCAACAAAGGCATCCCCAGTAGAACTGAAGATGTCGTTGTCCCACTCTATTCAGCACTTGTCAGGCCACACCTGGAATACTGTGTTCAGTTTTGGTACCCACTCTACATAAAAAGATGTGGACAGGCTGAGAAGGGTCCAGAGAACGGCCACAAAGATGATCGGAGGACTGGGAAGCCTGCCATACGCAGAAAGGCTGAGAGAATGGGGTCTGTTCAGCCTTGAGAAAAGAAGGCTCAGGGGACACCCCACCACTTGCTGTTGCTCCAGTATTTAAGAGACTCCCTTTTTACAAGGATTCACTTCGAAGAGACTAGTGGTAATTGTAACAAGTTACTCCAATCAAGAGACCAACTGGACATAAGAGGAAAACTTTTCATAATGAGAACAATCAGCCACTGGAATAATCTCCCCAGGAAAGTGGTGTCCAAGGCTTGACACTTTTAAGAGTCAGCTGGATAAGGTGCTAGGACATGTAGTCTAGGTCATGCTTTGCCTAGAAAGGTTGGACCAGGTGATCCTTGACATCCCTTCTAACATGGCTTTCTATGATTCTATGAAATATTTAGTGGATGGAAGCAAATGTTTAATGTCAACATGAGACAGCTGTAGTAATAATCAAGATATTTGTTCAGCATTTATTCTATCATCTCATGATGGAATAAAAGAGATTTAAATTCATCACAGTAATGACAAGAAAAGCACTTGCCACATAGTAAGAAAATAAGCCTGATAATTAGTGAGCTAAATAGTTCCAGAGTAATATAACTGAGGTAAATACATGCATACAATAGAGAACAACTTCAACTTTCAAGAGTTTTGTCTTTTAATAAAGAATGGTTAGCATAAATCCATTGAAACATATGTTAGTCAGCTATTTTTAAAAGAAAGCATTTTTAAAATAAGAAAAGCATCTGTAGGAGATATTTTAGGGGGGTGGGGGGAACAGGAGGGGGAGCATATACCAGTCAATGCTACCTTTTAACGTAAAAATATCAATTATTTTCTGTTATTTTTAGGTATATTATTAAACATATTTGTTCTGATTCTTGTGGTTATTTTTAATACAGGACAACAGAGATTAGCCAGGATATGCTACTTGGAGATCCAACAAAATTGTCTCTCACACTCCCAATCAGTTTTTAATGTTTTTTAATGCCTCAGTTATAGCAAATAAGCCATGAACTTTATCACATTGCTGACAAACTTTTACTTAACACATGATGTCTCTAATTTGGCTGAGTAATTTGCTGTACACTTCTATTAATATTATCTTGGATATGATGATTTTGCACTTAAACAAATGTTATTTGACATGCTAGATTAAATCTAAACGTTCCGTGTCTGCTAAAGTAAAGTCTTTGTAGTAATATCTTTTTTAGAAGCGCATATTTACCCATACAGCTATAGGCTCATCCATTACAAGCAGAATTCCAAGAACAAAATAGCAACTGCTCAAATAAACCGCTATTGCTGTTAAGCACTGCACCTCTTCAAGGGAATAAGCAGTTACGCTCCCCTGTGCATGCAAAGCTTCCACTCACAGTGGGGAACAGGCACACCAAGAAAGAACTTGACCATTTGTGATATGACTGCTCCTGTTGAAACATCCTCCACTGGTCTCTGCCTGCTAGCTTTACAAGAAGCTCTCAAATTCAAATTCACCAGATTTATGAGTCCAGCCACAGTTTCAGCTTCAGGAGCTGGAGTATAATGTTAACCATTCTTCACCAGCATCCTACTTCATTTCATTGTCCTCTAGAAAATCCAGTGCTCCCAAATTACCAGCAATTTTGAACGACCGCACACACAGACAAAAAAAAGGGGGGTGGGAGGATGGAAATCAGAGATGACCCAGCCTCAACTGTCGCGATTACCATGAATAGGTCAATAGCATCAAATTGAGTGCAGCTGTGCCACAGCATCACTGCTGGTGACCATACAGTGTAAGACAAGCCTTCATCAGTAAGCCTCATGAAATTCTTAGGAAAAATAAGAATTAAGGTGTTTTAGGATTATATATTTGCTAAATAAAGCAATAGTCTCAGCAAAACAGCAAATACAGACTGTAGCAACGGAACTGCCATATGAATAAAAACTATTTCCTCCTTTTCTTATGACCAGTAACCCATCATTCCTAACCTTCCTCACAAAAAAACAACTTGCCGTATACCACAGTAACAACAGAGCTGATTAAGAGGTAGAATATTTTCACACATTTGCAAAACTAGTTTTCTAACAGAAACTTCCTAGTCTGAAAAGCAACACTCTGGAAATTGCACTGTGATTTCATCCTTCCTTCCTCTAAAGATTTTCCTTTAAACATATTCCTGCCCTCCAAACCTAAACCAAGTCCAGCCCCCACAGTAGTTTTCTCCTCTATTTCATCAGTAACCTACGGTTGCCACAACTGGAGACAAAAATCTCATCTCAACACCACCAGCATGTCAACATTAGATGACTTTTCAGCAATATAACTATCACTGTTATTCATACACTGGTATAAATAGCTAAGCTCCTAAAAAAAAAAAGGAAAAAAATAAAAAATTACAGCCTAGCTAACATATTTATGCCAATGAAACTGCTCTAGTGGCAACAAGGTTAATTCTTTATTTAAAAATATTAAGAGATATGAATTTGTTCTCTTGTTACATTTTTATATTATCACTTGCACAGAGGTGACTTCATACAGATGATATCCCAAAGGCAAAAAAACTGCATTGAAATTTCTGTCTGGAACTCAGTAAACGTCATCATTTCTGATAATCAAAGAAGAATGCAATTCTTCCCTTCAACTGGGCTGTTTTTGCAGTCTTAGTAAAATTTTCAAGTAATAAGAAGTATTCTGTCCATAAGGGTAGCAATTATAATTGAGTATGATGAATAATAGCATAATTTCAATCATGGCTACTTTTCGAAGTAAAATCACACATGAGCCAATAACCTCCACAGCAGACAGTGAGACCTATGAAAACAACAAATCAAACCAACCAATCAATTGTTCAAAACACTTGACTTGGTTTATTCCCCAATACAAATTCTTCTGCCTCAGCATGCATTAGAATATAATTATTGCTACATACACCAAGGTATGTTTTAGAAGAGTTGCTGAGGGAAATATGCTATGAAGTCAGACCCATGTAACAAATTTGGGGGAAAGATATAAAAACTTCAGAAAGCATAAAAGCTCCCTGTTGTTTTCAATCCTAGTGGTTATAAAAATAGAAGGGAGCAAAAGCATTGCCCAGTACAAATAATGCCACTATGTCATGTTGCACCTCAGCCCTGACCTGCAGCAACCCTTCTGCTCCAGCTCACATGCCTCTGTGTTATAGCTTTTAATCACACAGGAAGAGGTTGAACTAGAGGTATGGTTTCACGAGAACACGCACAAGACAAGGCTGACACCACCACTCATTTTCAATGACTGACTCCATCTACCCTAAAGGAGAACATAAATTTGTCAACACTTCAGGTCCCATTTGATCTGCTCACATAGGGCAGCAGCAGGAAACCATTGTTCTCAAAGGCACGCTCAAGAACAGACCACGGGCACTGGCTGGGGCCTAACACCATGTATGGCTGACTCACTCACTACACACAGTGGTGACAAGGTGGTCCTGCACAGAACCATAAAAATGTTTGGGAAGAAGTGGGGGTATGTTCCTGGGAAAATCATAATTCTCCTACTGGTCTCTTTACCTGCTCAGCTGATTTTTGTTTTGTTTGGTTGGGTATTTTGTACACTGGGACAGGATGCCCAGAGTGATCAATAGTTGCAATGCTAAAGCTGGTAAATCTGAGCTGCTCATGCTTTTCATCCACATTTTATCTACGTTTAAAAAAAAAAAAAAAAAAATCGATAATGACATTACAGGAAATGCAGCAAGGAGAGCACAGGGGCAGAAAGAGGCAAAGTACTCAGTTTTCTGCACACATATTAATAAAAACCTCTTTCCATCCCCCAGTATGTTACCCCAAAATTTTCGCCAAAACCCCAGCCATTTTTGTCATCAGTAAAAAAAAAAAAAAAAAAAAAAATCAGTAAGATGGGAACCTTAGTCAGCACACCTTAGAATATCTATCCAGACCAGGCTCTCCTCCCTTCTGTTATCTTTTAAATCATTAGCACTCATCATACTATGGTTTTAAATATATATATATATATTTTATGAGCGAGTTTCACCCACATCAGTTCGTAATAGCCTTTTTTCCAAATCCACATCTTTACAATTATTATCTCTAATTCCACTGGAGTATCTCACTCCCACTCACACTTTGTTTTTTTGTTTAACTATAAAGCAAGCATTGCCCTGTCGTCCGATTCCCTTGTTCACATGTTTTAAATTTAATCGGAATACCTAAGGTGTCAATAATCACGTTAGTCTTTCTGACAAGAATCAGAAATAGGAATAAAGCTCATGCTACAGAACAATAATGTAATCTGCAGAGCTGCACTGAACAACTTTTCAAGAAGTCTAAAGCAATCTCCTCTTTTAGTTGAAAACATATAAAGGAAATCAGCCTTTTGAAACTAAATTTAATAAGCCAAGCAACTTTATCCAAACCCTGAATAATAAATTAGTCAAAAGCCATCAGGAAAGATGCCAGAACACCCTTCCTAATCATCAACATCACCCTTCCAAACCATGTTTTAATTAATCTAAATAAAAATTGCAGGGGGGAAATATCACCATTAAGCTAGATATTGATTGCTAAATTGGTTGCTTAAGACAGTATTATTAAAGCAGTCTTAGCAGCAAAGTTGCAAAGTAATTCACAGCCTAGAGTGCCCTCTTTCTTTCCCAAGAGAAGTTTCAGGGAAATACTCTGTTCTGAAGATGTCAAATTAGGTATTTTTCAGAAAGTCAAATAAAATAGATAACTAGTCTGTATCAAATAAAAAAAAAAAATCTGAACATGAAAGCAGTTCAGCATAATTTAAGTGATATCCTTCCACTGGTGATGAGCATGATTCTACCTTAATAAAAATATACTTACAGAGCCATCTGAAACTGTTCAAGCCATTTTTTCTTCAAGTCTTTAGTTTTGCAATAAACTTCTAAACCATTTTCACCTTGGATATGAATGAGGTAGAAGCCATAAGACCACTGCATAAAAAGATTGACAATACAAAAGTCATCAGTTACGAAGAAAGGAAATGAAAGATAGGGAAGAAATCTAAAAAAAAAAAATTTCCCTGATTTAGGAACAGAAAGACCACATTATTGTGTTCACTCAGGAATGAGTTAAACATTAATAAAAAAAGTTTAAATCCCTAAATATTTGCACTTCAGCTTACATTTAAAACACAATAAATTGTGCATATATGCTGAACTTGTGCAAAATGTTTCAAGTTGCTGTTAAAAAACGTACATTTTTATATGAATTAGCAATAAATATTTACCTTCTTATTTTCTTTATCAGTAGTGGGGTTATTTGTAATTTTGTATTTCTGAAGATCTATTATTTCCTTCATTTCATAATTATCACCTCTCCGTTTGCAAACAATTACAGCTAGATCAAACAAGAAGATGTGCCTATGAAAATACAATATAAAGATGGTTAAAAACACTCCAGAAATCTAATACCTAAAGTATTATTCTACACACCTTTGCCTCTGTCACTTAAACTTTTGAAGTGAAGAACAACTAAATGACTGCATAATGAACAAAAATGAAACTGAAAGTACTTTTGCTAGAGACCTAGTATTTGCAAGAGATTTAGATGATCTTAGATGTTAGCATAATAGCTAACTTGCCATGAATGACTTTGTAAATTCACTTGGTAAACAGTGGATAGGTTCTGTGAATGCACAGTGAAATGAAAAGTACTCTCAAGAATCACTGAGCTGACCTCAAATCTACATGGGGTTACCTACAGGTTTTTTAATAGCAAACACCAGACATCATAACATCACCTGTCTTGCCTCGCACGTTTGTCTAATGTGGTTATCCTTATTTCCCCATCACCTTGAGGTCTTCCATACTGTAAGAGGGAATGATTCTGAAACAAAAGCAATATGCATGATTCAATACAGCAAAACTGTCAAGATGATGACACATTCAAGTGTTAGACCACTTACTCCTTTTACTCCAAAAAAAGGACTTTTCAGGTCTGAAAATATATTTTTCTCACTATTATCTAAACTAGATACAATAAAGAATCAGTCCATTCCATTTTTGCCTTCAAATGTGAAAATTTCTCCCATTACAAAACCACCTGAGTCACTGTATAAATGCAAACCTTTAACTATGTTAATATATTTAGCTACAGACCAACCCCCAAAATAGAAAGTTCTGTACTTAAATATTCATGTTATTCTAAACCAAGCAAAGCATACTTAACATGTTTCCAAGAGTACTATAATATTATATGAAATGGAGAAGAAAATACATCAATATGTTCAATCAAAAGTGATTTTAAAACTGTATATAACTGAAAAATATCACATACCAGATTCTCTATTGATAGTTGAAACTGTCTAATTTCACGGAGTGTTTCATTATCCCTCTTCACTTCATTTACATATTGAGCCAAGTCCTAAAGCATAAACAGATAAAGGGAGGAAAAAACTTTTCCATAACAGGCCACTTTAGTACACTATTTTGGCAACTTCATTTCTAATTTTGTCTTTGAGTCATCTGTGTATTTAGTCAATTGAAAAAAAGAAACATGTATCTTTAATGTTTGAGAATCACCAATATAGATGGCTAAATAAAGAGGGGAAAAAAAGCCTTTCATATCTTCAATCTATTTACAACTTTCATCATCACATCTACTGAAAGAAAAATTTAGTAGCAACAAAGAGAGAAATGTGATAAATTGTAAAAAAGGGCTGATTTTTTTCTCAATTTCATTAATGTCTTATTTTCAAGATTAAGATGGAAACTAATTTATGCAGCACACTGCCAAAATGTCAACAACATCCAATATCTGAGAACAAGACAAAAGGTAAATAGAGCATATAGTAGAAAACATGTAAGGCAGCTGAAAAGCAACATGTAAGGTCATGACCATAACATATATCGAAAGCATACATCACATCACACACACATCATATTACATATCATAAGGCTGGGTGCACATCAGGAAAGAAGCTACCGGCCCAGTGGTAGAATCTTGCTCTTAATGCACAGAAAAGCCATTACACGTCAGAACTTTTAAAGGGGCTTTTAATGGGATATATTACCTGAAGTCACAGGTTGAGAACATTATTGCCCCTTTACCAGAACACGTACTGTACACATTTCACTAAAGCCTTTAAAATGCTTTAATGTTTGAGTAATAGTGACAATTTGCTGGTGTGTCTCTGTTTATGGCTAGAGATGAGGAATGAGCAGGAGTTGCAATTGACAAGGTCAGGGATGCTGAGAGCAGCAGTTGGAAAGGGCATTCTGATCTTCACAACTTGCTTTTACAGTGTCCCTTCAAGATGGTCACATATTTGGAGGGTGGGAGAAAGATACATCTTCCTAGGATGTTTTTAATCCAAATCTAAGAATAACTGTAATCATTATGCTAAGCATCCCAAATTAATCTGTGCGGGATACATTCACATCAGTCTTAAAAGAGTTAGTGTAGAAATTAAATAACCTTTTTTCTTGCTGCTAAATCTGACAGCATAATCCTTCCGAGAATTTTCTTTCCTGGGGAGCAGTACCACTTAGCTGACAGTTTTTCCAAAGACATTTTTATTTTCAAGCAGACACACCAGGGTTTTTAGAAGCAATATACCAACGTTGCACAGTTACATCTACTAAAAGGATACACTAAATCAGGAGGGAAGCAAAGCTGCACCCTTAAGGAGAGATGCTCATACCTGGGGAGGGCAGGGTTACTTGGATTGGGGAGTGGGGGGAGGTGGGGTGTTGGCTTAATTAGATGGTTGTGTCCTGCCTGCCAGCACATAACTGCCACAGCCACTCGGGCAAAGAGATTTCTTAACTGGTCTTCTAGTTGTAGTCCAGCTGCCACCAAAAACAATGGAACAAACCAGCAAACAGGAAAGAAAAAGGGGGGCAAGAGTAAATAAAAAATGGTTATTTTCCTAGCCAATTAGCAGCAGCCAGGGTGCATGGCTTGCCACTAGATGGAAGCAACAGTGTGCCATCCCATTTCAGGCATCTCTCCCTGGAAGATTATTGTCACGGCATGCTCTGCATTCACTGCACAAAAGCAGATGACAAAAAACAAGAACCAAAATGTCTCATTAGTGAGCTGGTCTGTATTCCAGGCATTCAAGGCAATCACATAATACAAGACAACTGTGCGACCCAAAACTAACTTAGTCTGACTTCAGCATCTTCTGTGGACCATACAGATTACAACAGAAGGAGATATGACCTGTGTCATGTTGGCTTCTTACCCCTTCTCCCGCACAAAAGATAGGAAAAAAAAATTCACAATCCAGCACATGAATGTCACAATTCATGCTGTGAAGCCAACTGAAGCAGAACCGCATTTCATTTCTGAAGCTGTGCAGAGGAACATAATATATTACCTTATACATAAGGCAGAACACCTATTCTATAAAGCATTTGTTTGTACCAATATACAGTGACAGATATTCTACCTCCAGACACTACTGCTTTCAAAAGTAAAGCTACAAAGCTCATATTAAGAGGACAGAAAAAAAATCTTGTAAAGAAAGATAACTGTCTTCATCTCACTGGGAGACTACTGACCTTGATTAGAATTGACTTACAGTGGTAGAAATATGCCAAATTTTGGAAGCGAGACCAGTATTATTGAAACACCTGTTTTTTATCACATATATGACAGCAAAATGATGTAGAAGTAAACTGAAGTAAGGAAGTTCCATTTTATAAACCCTCCGCTTCAGAAAACTACTGAGCTTGTTTCCAGACTTGAGCAAAGCCCTCAACTATATATTTACCCCAATACATTTACACAGTTCATCGTGACCTGTGAAAACATGTTTGATCTGCTATGAAAAACATTATCTCCTCCAAGAAAAACAGTTCTGAGCTAACATTTTAACTGCCAACAAAGAAAAACACTTCATTGACATGAATACCTACCTTCATTGCATCAAGTGCCAGTTTCAGATTTGCCTTTTCCATGGGATCAGTAGTGTGCTTTACAAGCTCCTGTGAACAGTTAAAACTTTTCGCTGTCAGTTTATAAATTGACATAGTCAATGCTCATCCCCACCCCAAAAAAAAGGCCAGAATCAGAAAACACAACCTAAGACTTCACATATTTATCCCCATAGTGATCCCCATATTCACATATTTCATCCCCAAAGTGAGCAACTTAGAATTGAGTGGGGCCCACTGCAAACTGATAATTGACAAGTGCTTAAGAATTATTGCTGTATAACCTAAACACTGGCTTCAGCTGCTAATGAACCATCATTAGAAGCTAATTTGGTCAGTCTGGCACTTAAAACTTGCCAAATCAGATCATTAATGTATGTGTGTGCTTAAAGCACAGGTAAACACTTGAGTTCATTTGCACATTACTATACTGTATATCATCCCATTCCAAAACATGCACTTATCTGCAGAAAGGGATGTATGCTGACAGTAAAAGCTCAGCTAAACAGTGCACTGCTTAAAAGAAGTCACTGTCTCATTACACCTAAAATAAAGCTGGCTCAGAAGACATATTTAAATCAAATGTAAATGTTTAAAAAAATTTTTTAGTCACTTCCCATATGGAAAATAAAAGGGGTGGTGTAGTTTACATGAAGTGAAGAAGTAACCTTTTGGGGAAATGGGTTATTTCTTCTTTATAATTTGAGAAGAGAATTAAATATTTCAACAAATGTAACTTGCTAAAATCATAGGAAATGAAAGAATAAGTATTTATACTTCATATTATATTTTTAATAATTTACTGTTTTTTTCTTTCAAAGTTAATGAAAATATTCATGTATATTATTAGTTTCACACAGACCATAGTGACATAATGTATATCATCTTTTCATAATATAGAGGTTGATTATAAAATCATGACTCAGCTCTCTTTAAAAAACAGTTGTACCATTCATATTGTTTTTTCCAATTTTCCATTGATCAAAATATCGATGACTCATAGAAATATTTAAAAAATTTAATATTACCTAATGTATGTTGCTCTGCAGAATCAAAATTATGCTTCACATACAAGTAGTAGATCTTTTTAAAATGACATTTTACAAGCATGAGCAGGGTTGACACTCTAATACAGTAATATATTTCTTTGCAGCTGAACTAATGAGTCTCCTGGCACAGCTATCAAATTAAATTTATAAGACTCTCCACCCTTATTACAGAACTAACTGCAAAAGCTAATGCTTTGTGGGTTATAACAAGAAGCATTCCAAAGTAAGTATGCCTTTATTGCAATTCATGACAGCAAAGAAGCATCTTAAAAGTATGTTGTAAGTATAGTCCAGCTTCCTCTTTTGGGGGATGGATGATGGTTTACATTTCAAAGCACCATGATTATGCTTTGGTACTACTAACCACACCGAATATATCAAGAATGAAAGATTCAGATACCAAGGAAAAAATTGTGGTTTATTCTTTTTTCCCAGATATGCTTCAGTTCTGAGGAATGATCTTTGAAAGAAAACCTGCACTTGACTAGATTTTATTTTGTAACAAATCAGCCTCAAATCTATGGAAATGTCAATCACCTCCCTTTGATAAAGACCTTTATCTTTCATTCTTACAATCCACTAATGATACTCAGCCCCCTTAAATTTCAAAAATAAAACACCTGGAGCAGTAGGTGGTATTTTAGCACTCTCTGCATTGGAACCACTAAAAGATCCCGTAATGTGAATTTCCCATTATTGGCCCTCTTTGAACATTCCTAGTTGAAAAGAGAAGAAAGAATAAGATAAGAGAGTTAGAAAATTAAAACTTTCATGTGAGACATTAAGAGAAATCAGCGATATATGGGCCAAGCTACTATAATAATCTTGATATAAAGAATGTCAACATAATAAAAGAACCCGTTGATATGGCAATAAGAGCTGGGGGGGGGGGGGGGGGGGGGTGGGGAGAGGAACACAAGAAAGACAGACTGTATCTAGACATTTTTCTTAGATATTTCAACAGCATAAAAAAGAGTAGAATAAGCATCACAAAGACAACAACTTGCTGAGGGTACATTCTATCCCTTCATCCAGGTCATTGATAGCAATCTTTACCAATGATCTACAGGAAAAGACAGAGGACACCCACAGCAAGTCCGCAGACAACAACAGATTGGAAATTCAGGAGACACTCTTCAGGCTATGTCCAACAGGATCTTCATATCAAGGCAACAAGGCGAAGGCAAAGTCCTTTACCTGGTGTGCAGTAGCTAGGGACATTCTAGCCCTCAAGTCTGACCAGCTAAGGAGCAGCTCTGCTGGAAAAAGGGTCATGAAAGATAGCAAGCCTTGCGAGGCTAGGGCTTGTTTACCCTAGAACCTGTGTTCTCAGCTTCTCTATCAGTGATATATCGCTATATCACAGAAGAGTAAAACTGATGATCACTTGACCACCCTCCCAAAAAAAAGACAACAGAACCCTACTATGTCAGTGGCAAAACTTCTACTTCAGTGCCAGGACATGCAGTGCAACAATTCACATATTCATTTGATTGAAGGCTCCAAAAAAATGAAATGGAAGACAAACACATTCAAGTTTCAGTTAAGCTAGTTTTTCATCATAAAGTTTCTACTTGGATGAAAGCAAGACATATTCATAGAAACACATGCTTTTTATATATATGTATATATACAGTTAATACTAATACCTCTAACTTCAATTTAACATCTTCTTTTGTCTTAGAGATGTTGTCTAAGCATGATATTGCTATCTCCACTTGACTGCAGTACTGTCCATAAATAACCAATCTGAATCAAAACAAGAGATAAATATTAAGAGGAACATTTCCATATATAATTTTTTTCACAAATATATTGTTAACAATCCTCCTTTCAAAACGAGTAGTGCCTGAATAACCAAGGATAGGATTCAGACATAGACTTCAATGAGCAGCATTAAGGATATTCAGAGGAATAGTTTTTATCTACCCTCAAAATGCTGTAAAATCATTGTAATATCCTTTAATACTCACATGTACATGTGAATATGAAAGGACTCATTAAAAAGCAGCGTAACTGCTGTTTAACAGAACAAGTCTTTAGTATTTAGAACACTAGATCTTCAAGGTTGTGATGTACAAATTCTGTAACACAGGCTCGAGAAGATTAGTTACAGCTATCCTTTAAAGAACTTGTAGGTTGTCTAAACTGATCCATCTCCAACAATTTCTACCAGGTTATATCCTGTAAGCCCTCAGATCAAAATAATAGTGTGCAGGAACTCAAGAAATTTTCAGTAGCTGTCAAGGGCAGCAATGCTTCTTGAAGGAGTTAGGGTTTATGACAGGAGTTTCTGGTCCCTCTTTGGAGTGCTTCTTGCTACTAGTCCCGTTACAAAGAGTGCTGTTTCCTTTAACCTTTTCATACATTTCTTGAGGCAATTCCTTCTGTATGCTTAAAATCCTTTTTTGAGGGGTTCCCATGAGCCTTCCGTTGGGGTCTCCTAGAGTTCTTTTTCTCTCACCTAATATCTATCATTTTTTCCCCCATTCTTTTTTCACAGTTGAAGTGATTAAACTAATTTAACACCACTTCTGATTAATTACTATATGGTTAAGACACTAAGTCTATCTCCATCTGGTTCATTTTTGTATAATATAAACTTGAGGTTTCCTCTCAGTGTCCTTTGCTCCCCTTTTAGCACACATTTCAGAACTAGTTTTCAAAGATAAGCATTTTCCAGAACTTTTTGTTCCCTCATTCCCTCTTACAGCAGCAGAAAGTCTAACAGCCTGGGAAATAAATATGTCCTGCTCCAACATAAAAGCTGAGACAGAGGGTCTCTGAAGGCAAGGCTGTTTGTGGGCAGCCTGGGACACCCTCCACTCTCAGAAAAAAACCTCTACTGTTTAACGTTTTCTGGATACTGCTGTCCAGTTTCTCACAAGCATGTTATTACTGCAACAATCCTCCTTCCCCATCACCCTCGAGCAAACTCAATTAGCTCCTACAGGTCTTTCCTGCTCCAGTCCCAGAAGGAACTGATTTTTAACCACAACCCAAGGGTTATTTCAAGGTAGGTCAACACCGTAACCCACAGTACAAGTGTTTTTCACCACATGTATATGCCACAGGCATGTAAGTTCATCTATACAGTCCAACAGCTGTTCAGTGCTGGCAGAAAAAACAAATCTGAAAAGGTAAGTAAAAAAGATTGTCAACTAGACTACAGGACATGGCATGCTGCCACAGCTGTCCTATTATCAGCTTGGCGGGTTTTCAGTTTGAAGGTAGAGCATTAGCTTTACTGTCACACCTTTGACTGCAGGGCAGGGCAAGTCCCTAGTCTCTTCTTTCTTCTCTTTTGCAGTCTCTTCTGCTTTCTCTTCTTCCAAATTATGGCCATTTCTGTTTTATTTAACCTGGAATAGCCTTAACATATATCCTTGCCTTACTTTGCCCCTTATTCCACTTTTATGACATTTTAACTGTTAAACAAAACAGGGACATGCTATAAAATACTGAGAATTTTTTGCATGAAAAAATGTTATGCAGAATAAACTATTTTTGTTTAAAATATAGATGTTAATTGTCTATGTAACAATATTGCCAAAACTGAACATAAGAAAAGAGAGGGCTCATATAGCAATATACATTTTGAATTCCAGGCTCAAAACAACAAATACTAGCTTCATAAGATTATTGACACAAAATACAACCCAGTTTCAAAAATATTCATTAAAAAAAAAAGGTAAAATACCAAATTGAGCATAAATTACTGCAATTAGTAAGAGCGCATAAATCTTACCTTTGTTTGTAATTAATAAAAATTTGATATAGGTTCTGATCATTTTTGTTAACAATCGAATCATTGATGTCCTGTGTTAGATTCTTGTGAATTTTCACCAAATCCTTAAAAACAGTAATGGGGAGGAGAAAAGGTTTTTTAAACCAGAACTTAAAGCTTTGAGTATAAAAATGAATGATTTCATGTTAGATGCACTAATTTCAATAAACTGTAAAATATGAGAGTACAATCGCATATTAAGGTTTTCCACATCTTCCCTATCATGCAACAAGAAAAACTAAACTCTAAGTATTACCTATTAGAAACTAATTTATTCTAGCTTGGAACGTGTACTGTTAAATCATCTTCATTTTATAATGATAATTTTAAAATTAAGCAAGTCAAGTAAATGCTTTAGTGACAAGATAAAGTAATAATTCGCATCCCTGAGCTGTGCAAAATTAGTTTTGTACATTACATTGGTCAATTACTGATGTTCTAGTGTTAACAGCAATCATAATGAGCCTCCTAATTCAGCAGGCAACTAATGGCTGAGAGAAAGGCACAGCTATTCCAGAAAGATTTGCTCTCTGAGTACAGCTGAAACTCACCTTACCTGTTCACTGTGAAACAACAATCTGTAAGCAACTACAGAAAATTACATCAGCCTTAATATTGTATGGATAATATCAGAGAATTCACTAGGAATTAAAACAAGTTAAAACGTTTTGAAATCAATAACTGTACGTGGGGCACAGACCACAAAAAAAGAAAGTTAAAGAGGACTCAGAAAAAAAAAAAACCACCAAACAACAACAAAAAAAACAACGCACAAAACACTGTGACATGAACCGCCGAGGTGAGTCTCTCCAGAGACGCC